CCAAAGGAGACCTAGAATAGCTTAAACAATACTGGGCAACAAAGGCAAAGTAGGGGACATCACAGTCCCTCACTTGAAATTGTAATAGAGAACAACTGTAATAAAAATAGCATAGTACTGGCAAAAACAGATGTGAGGAAAAATGGAACAGATTGAAAGATGCAGAATCAACTTCACACACACTCTGCCATCTTATCTTTAACTAAGGGGCCAAACACATTCACTGAAAGAAAGATAGCCTCTTTAATAAATAGTGCGGGGAAAAATGGCTTTCCACAGCTGAAAACTTAAAGTAGACCCATGTATATCACCATGTACTAAGCTAAAATTAAAATGGATCAAAGATCTAAATATTAAAACAGAACTACCAAATCTGCTGGAAGAAAGAATAGGGAGAACTCTTGAAGGCATAGATGTAGGCAGAGACTTCAGGAACAAAACCCCAACTGCATGGGAAATACTACAAAGAATCAATAACTTGGATCTCACCTTATTAAAAAGCTTTTGCAGAGCAAAAGAAATCACCAACTAAGTGAAAAGACAACCCATAGAGTGGAAGCCAGTTTTTCTTCAAAGGACTGATATCTAGAACATATAAAAAATTGAAAAAATTCAGACTCCCCAAATTTAAAGGCCCAACCTAACAAAGGGCATCTGAAATGAATAGACAGTTGTCAGAAGTACAAATGGCAAATAAATATATAAAAAATGTTCAACATCACTGATCATTCAATAGATACTAATTAAATAATGCTGAGATCCCATCTCAACACAGATAGAATGGCTATTATCAAGAAATCAACCAAATTGAGGCTGGAGATTTAGCTCAGTGGCACAGCTCCTGCCTTGCAAGGTCGTGAGTTCAATTCCCGGTACCGGCAAAAAAACGAAAACAAAGAAAAAAAAGAAATCAACCAATAACAACTGCTGGCAGGGCTGTGGGCAAAAAGTACTCCTTCACTGTTGATTGGAGTGTAGCCTATTGCAACCACCGCGGAGATCAGTGTGGAGATTCTTCCAAAATCTAAAAGTAGAGGTTCAATTCAAACTAGCTATTCCCCTTTTTGGTATCTTCCTGAAAGAATGAAAAACATTATCATACCACAGTGAAATACACACATACATGTTTATAACAGTACAGTTTGTAGTAGCCAAATCATGAAAATAACCATCAACTGATGAATAGACAAAAAAGATGTGTTTTGTTTTTTTTTTTATACTGGAGTACTACTCAAACATAAATAAGGATAAACTTGAGACATTTATAGCTAAATGGATGGACCCTGGGACCATATTCTCAAGTGAAATAAATCAGATACATATGTGTAAATATCACATTGTCTCTCTAGTATGAGATACTGAAAGTGTAAATAAGAACCAAAATGTAAAATAGATGTTGTGAAATATGAAGAAACTCTTCAAAAGAAAAGGGGAACTGGTGGGGGTTGGGGGAGAAAAGGAAAAGAAAAAATGAGAAAACAAAAACCGTAAAATGGAAACAAAG